TGGAGGACTTGAAGGCCACCCATTTGTTCTTGTAGAAGTATAGTAAGAAATCCACTATCACTGTGGTTGATAGTGCCAAGAGTCAATTCCGGTTCTGGGCATTTAGGGTAGTAATGGCCGAGGAGGAAGAGCCCCTCGGCACGACCCATGTCTTTCAGATGATTGAGGTTGAGTCCTAGAGCCTTNAGGGTAGTAATGGCCGAGGAGGAAGAGCCCCTCGGCACAACCCATGTCTTTCAAATGATTGAGGTTGAGTCCTAGAGCCACCGAGAGTAATTCATACAGAGTGAGCCCCAAGCTCATGACGTACTTAGTGTACTCGATCATTACATCTCTGCAAGTTAAACAAGTAGTTTATGTTTTGAACAAATAGACATCAAAAGATGAATATCTGTGGAAGTAGAAGCACCTAATGCCATGAGAGGGCATGTAGAAAGTAAAAATAGAAAAAACTGTTTATCAAAAGGACAAAAAAATACCCAAACTAGAGCTAGGAGATGACTCTGCAAATTTTTTCATGGTCATAACATAATAAAATAGAGAGAGATAGAGGGGGATATACACAAAGAGAGAAAGAGAGAGAGAGAGGGGGGATGTGGTACTGAATCTCTTGCCACTGGAATATTCATGTTGGAAAATGAACTTGTTTTTAGAGTTTTATTATGTTATTAAGTGATCTTCATAAGGTGTGTTAATGGGGTAATGGTATTTTAATATACCATGTAGTGAGGGAGTGAAATGTGTTAGAGGTGAGTTAATTCTCCAAGTAATGAAGATGATGAGTCTTAATATTTTAGACATTACAAGAGTTAGTGGAGGCAGTGGCATGTTAATTGAAGGCTAGGATTTATGTTTGAGACATATATAAATAGAATACGTATTATAGTGCTTGTAGTAAGTAGAGTTGAATAGAAATTGAAGAGTCCAAGTTAAGTGTATATTTTGTAATAAACTTGAAAGAAATTTATTATTTTTTGAGTGTTCATATCCTTTTCTACTATCTTTCATTTTATTTCTAATCATCTTGACTCCAATAAAATGGTATCAGAGTAATTTTCCAACTAAAGTGACATTGGAGTAATTCTAACAAATTGGTATCAGAGTTAGCTTTGGATCCTGAAAGTCTAGATAGCTCACTGTTAGAGCTAGTGTGATCTTGAAAGTCTTGAGAGATCATCACAATCATGATGATCATAGAAAATTCACCAAATATATATTTTTGGTGTGAAAAGATGATGTTCTCTAATTACAAGATAATGAAAACTACTCTTCCTTCTTATCTCATAGCATGTGATTTGTGGGATGTGGTTGTAGAAAAGTCTAAGAGTGATTTGCCTAGAAGAATCCGAGAGAAGAAAGAAAAAAAGGCACATGGAGTTCTCAGGAAGGAAATACATCCCAAAAATTTGGGAGTATATAGGAGAATCAAGATCTCCAAATCATGTTTGGAAGACAATTGAGAGTATTTTGGGAGTATATAGGAGAATCAAGATCTCCAAATCATGTTTGGAAGACAATTGAGAGTATTGTACTCAAACATGAGGGTGAGTTTCTACCCAAGGAGTATTGGGTCCAATGATTTGAAAAAGATGAGTTTATAAAATAATGGTGTGAATTTGAAGACACACCAATGTAGGATCAAGAAGAGCATCACCATGTTGAAGTCGAACAAGTTGAGGAGATCAAAATTGAAGTTCAAGAGGCTAGAAAGGATGAAGAAAATAACGAAGTTAAAGAAGTAACTCAAGAACTAGAAGAACAAAAAATTTGTAAATAACTTTATTTAAAGGTAAAATAAATTTAAGAATTTGTAAGGAACGAATAAGAAATCAAGGATCTTATTGTGGCTAAGGATGTTGAGATGAATCCTTATGCACCAATGTTGAAAGATGTATCTCCAATGGCGAATCAAAGTGAAGATGGTCATATTGAGAATTTCGAAAGCCCCATTCAAAGCTATTAATTTTCTTGAAAATTACATGACTTTTTATTCACAAGTTGAAGTAGAGAATGTTTCGAGTGACACAAGTTAGATGAATACAGAGACGTTTTCCGATCCAAAAGAACTAAACTAGCACAAGAGAAATTTAAGAAATATGAGAAGTCCAAGGCAAAAGAAGGTCAATTTACAAGTGCTAAGAAGAATATTGGCAACATGAATATAATTTGCATGTGTGAGATGGTTTATCATAAGCCCTACACTGCAAAAGAGATGACTTTGAAGATTCTTGCAATTAAAGGAGGTGGTACTCTAGTCCAAGATATTTAAAATAATTCCATGAAGCCTTTCTACCATGAAATGACTTGCGAGATAAGAATTTGGAGGTGAAAAATCAAGTTTAAGGAGGGTGTTGAAAAATAAACTTGTTTTTATTGTTTTATTTTGTTATTAAGTGGTCTTAATAAGGTCTGGTAGTGGGATAATGATATTTTAATATGCCAGGTAGGGATGAGTGAAATGTATTAAAGGTGAGTTAATTCTCCAAGTAGTGGAGGTAGTGGCATGTTAATGCAAGGCTAGGAATTATGTTTGAGACATATACAAATAGTTTTAATGTATTATAGTGTTTATGATAAGTAGGGTTGAGTAAAAATTGAATAGTCCAAGTTAAAAAAAAATATTAAAAGAGATCTAGATTCGGAGGAGACATACACTGCAACCGACATTTTTGACCGTTTTTTATTTTAAAAATTTATTTATCAATTTATTTTTGTTTGGGTAAGTGTTAATTGATTATTTCACCTTCTTCATAATATTTCACTTATTTTTTAAAATAATATTTGGGGTTTAATTGGTTTATTCTTTTTTGTCAATTTTTGCAAATACTCTGTTTTATAATTCTAATTGCCCAAAAATGATNGTGTTAATTGATTATTTCACCTTCTTCATAATATTTCACTTATTTTTTAAAATAATATTTGGGGTTTAGTTGGTTTATTCTTTTTTGTCAATTTTTGCAAATACTCTGTTTTATAATTCTAATTGCCCAAAAAAAATAAAAAAAAAATACTAAACTAAGAATTGCATGAAGGATTAATGTTAATAGTGCATGTGTGTGAAAGAATGTCTTTTAAAAGAGTATATCTCTCGCCTTTTGTTATGGTCGAAACATTTTTTTTGAATCGTAACGATAAATATTTTATTAAGAAGTTAAATCTGAAAGAAGAGATGATATCAGAAAGTCTGGTGTCATTTCTTCCCAAACATCAATATTTTCACCTAATCTGANAAAGAATGTCTTTTAAAAGAGTATATCTCTCGCCTTTTGTTATGGTCGAAACATTTTTTTTGAATCGTAACGATAAATATTTTATTAAGAAGTTAAATCTGAAAGAAGATATGATATCAGAAAGTCTGATGTCATTTCTTCCCAAACATCAATATTTTCACCTAATCTAGCTTTTCGAGCCAGTTGGTGAGCTACAAGATTTCCTGCTCGTCTAACAGTGGACCAGAATCTAAAGCTTGCTCATACTGCGAAATAAACTCCATTGCCATATGAGAATACATAATTTTGTAGAGAAATTGGGTAGAAAACACGAGACTAAACGAATTGTATTGCATATTTTATGACGAGATTTGTTCATATGAAAAGAACATGACCATCAAGAGAGATTTGTTCATATAATTTTTATTATAATCAACTTGGATGAATTTTTTTTGTTTTTTTGATTGCTCATATCCTCCTGTATTTTTTTCCATATTATTTATAATTCTCAACTCCAAGAAAGTGATATCAGAGCGATTTTTCAATAGAAGTAAGATCGAAATAATTCCAACAATTCAGAGAGGGTTGTAACAAAAATTGGGTAAGTTTTTTTCTTGTTTATCGCATAGTACCCATAATATTATCATGGAATAATGCATGCAGCGCATTGCTAATTTCAGCATTAAACTGGGGAAGTCATGCCCACCATAAGTGTTCGTGGATTTTTACTATGACAGATTATTTTTTGGAATTTATGATTTATCATGCAAACACATAAAACTAACCCGGTTNGATTTTTACTATGACAGATTATTTTTTGGAATTTATGATTTATCATGCAAACACATAAAACTAACCCGGTTGTCGAACATGAACATAAATTAATTTTTAGATCAAGACTAGTATTTGATATTAAGTTCTTAAGATAGAATTCACCCCCATACAGGTGCTAATAAAAATCTCGATGTCTGTTTTGCATGATACAATGATTTTCACGCAAACAAAAGTAGCACTACAATCTATTTCTCCAACGAACCAGAATGTTTTATACTCTCAAAAATGATTAGACTTCATCACAAAAATTATGAATGTAATAACTGTCTTAATGACAAATTTCATAAGTGATGCAAGTTAATAATGCATAATAACTCTGCGTTTATATTGAAAGAATGATGATTGTTTCAGACAGTCGTTATGTTAATTGAAACAACCCAAAAGGTGTCTGTTAATAAACAGATACCAATTCGGATTTCAACATGACGCACACTTTGAATTCGAGTTTTTGGTACGAAATTTAAATTCCATACGAAATTTAAATTCCAACAGGTTACAAATTTAAAGACTCATTTAGTAAATAAAATTTCTCCAAAAATGTAAAATTGGATCCACACCTGTCCTAGTCAGGTTGGGTCACACACGTGTGCTCGAACCCACGTCATGTAGGACCTCCCCGTTCACAAAATTGTGTCCTCCCTTAAAACCCAACCCATAGAATAAACTTTGGTATATATTCTCATCAAACCTTTCTTGTCCAACTAATTTAGTGTTATATGGCACATTACCCAACATCTATTTTTACATTCAACCAGGATTGCTTGAAAGCCTATTTTTTCATTCACTTTTTACTCAATTTGTGTAATTATACTATGTTTTTTTCTTTGTAGAATATAACATGAACCCACAAATATTTATTCAAAATTATGGGTGAATCTCATTTTAATTTAGACTCAAAAGTCGATCAAAAATTAATTTTTTATAACTAAAAACTATTTTAGTCCAACATAAACGTCACATAGTTTTCCATCCCTTTTGAAGAAATCTTTAAGCATCACACCAAGGAACTGTTGGAAAATTAAATGGGTATTGCACAATAATATTGAGATTAAAAAAAAAACATTTATCAGTTGTGGCATGAGAAACCACTGTACTAGGAACATACTAATGTTAGAATCCTAACACATACCTGCACACCGCGGGAAGTTCTTCACGATCAGGTCGATGAGGAGCCATAACACAATAAAATGTATCCCTCCAACTAGCTGCTGGTGCTTGATACAGATCAAAATTACTGTTGTATGTAAACCTTCTCGTGACATCTCGGGAATAGAACTGTTTCTTCACCTCAGTGTCTTGCTCGTGAAACCGTCGAACCCCATCTATCATTCCATTCATTACACTCGCCGGAACTCCGTGATTGATTAACTGGAAAAAACCCCATTTTTCGCAAGCATTCCGGACTTTGTCGGCGATATAAGCACGTCGCCCGGGATCTTCATGGATGCCTGTGACGTCTATAACTGGAATACCATACTGCTGGGAGTCTCCTGAAGAATGCAACTTCACATCATGCTTAATTTGGTCATGGCCGAGAAATATACGTGGGATTGTCGCCACCCCGGCATCTACAAGTCCCTTTACACCAGCTTTTGAATCATCAAAAGCTTTTAGTTCACTTTTCCGATCATAATTTGACATAACTGCTGGAGGAGATTGAGCGCAGGCTGTGACCACCATTTTCTGTCCTCTAGGAGAGAGAGGGTAAAACAAGAGTAATAGTTTAGAGGATAAAATGTAATTTAC